TATAATGGTTACCATCTCTGTGTCATGATATTCTACTGTTTTAAATCAGAATATTTCTAGTACAGTAAATACATAATTCAAAATTCCATTCTATAATACAAGTCACCCACAAAAGATAATGGCCTGCTCTAAATCCAAGCAGAGAGACGACAGCAGAATTAAAATACATTAGATCTACCATCGAAAAAAAAGATCTAGATCTACCATCGAGTGGCAATTCAGGGGATCAACTCCATGTGTGAGGATCTCAAAGTCCATCTGGACATTCGAGATAAAATGTGGACCGACTGATAACACGATCTCTATGGCAGATAACCATTTAAATTTTAATTACGCATTTTTGTTTTCTTGTGGTTATGTATTCTCTAAAAATAAACAGCAATAACATAACAATGAAAATGACAATGACAATAACAACAATAATAACAAACATAATGATAATACTAACAATTATTATAATAGTAATAACTATTCTATTACTACTCCTACTACTACTAAATATAATAATAAAGATTATTATTATTATCATTATCATCATTACTATTATAATTCTAATTATAACAATAAAAATACCACCACCACAACCAACAACAACGATGATAACAACAATTATAATAGACTAATACCTGACTACACTGATCAAGATAAGATGACCTACACTTTCTTGACAAGTTATGAGGTGATACGATGATGAAAATTAATATGATTATGAGTATGAATATGACAATGCAAACGAAGATGAAGATCAAGATGAGAATGTTAGTGAAATAAAGATAGAGGAAAAGATAAAAATAGAGAATACAACAAAAATAGGCATGGTTAAACATACAATGAATAAATCTTACACTATGAAAAGTAAGCATTTGGCCTTAATTTGGACAAATTAATTAACAAACTGAAGATTAGTTACATAAGTTTGTTTTTTTAAGCTATCAGCCCCTTATCTTTAAACGTACCATACCTAAAGCACTAGATGAGAATCATGAGCAAAAAATATAGATTCTTAATCTTCATGTCTAATAGGATGTTTCCATGCACTCTGTATATTCATCTTAAATTGGGAAGTCTACAGCTTCACCCAACCAAGGATTTTCTGAGCCGCCTCCTGTTTTTCCGGTGATGTATGTAGTGCTCTGTTTGATCTTGTAACTCTTTCCCATCGTGTGCATCTAATTTTCTGGTTACGGCTCCTCCCTCATCCCCAGTGATCTTGGGGACCCTGTGGACAATCAGCTCTGAAATCAATCAAAGCACTAAACGTATCGTATCCGGTTAACTCGTCCCCAAGTTAACTCGTCCCCTAGTTCCATGGGTCGACTCGTCCCCTAGTTCCATGGGTCGACTCGTACCCAGGTTAAATGGTTAACTCGTCCCCGCCAATAAGTTAACTCATCCCTGTGCCCTATTGGATAAACTGATTGTCAGGTCAGGTTAGGTTAGGTTAGGTTAGGTTTGGTTAGGTTATAGGTGTTTTTCCGATTGGAACGGAAAAACACCAGTTCCCTAAACAGTTTCGGACAACCACAAGAGTATTACAAGCAAGGTACAGCCCCCTATTCCTCATTTAGGGAACGGGGACGGGACAACTTCGAAAGGGGGACGAGTCAACTTTCAATTGGGGATGAGTTGACTTTAGGATGGGACGAGTTAGCTTGGGGACAAGTTAACTTGGGGACGAGTCAACCGGTAACCAAACGTATCACCAGAAAGACACAGCGCATCAGAAAATCGCCGGTTAGGTGAAGCCATAAACTGCCCTGGCAAACTAGGGCAACTTACAATTCTGCACAGCTGTCCAATCTTGCATTCATCATTCCCTTTCAACTAACAGTGCTGTAATATGCCTGAATCCCTATCACTTCAGCCACGCCCGGGAAATCCACGAATGTTGCAGAATGAACCCAAAACCTTCTTGACCTGGGTTTTGCCCCAGACCCCTGGTTCTGCCCCCTGACCCCTGGTTCTGCCCCCTGACCCCTGGTTCTGCCCCCTGACCCCTGGTTCTGCCCCCTGACCCCTGGTTCTGCCCCCTGACCCCTGGTTTGTGCCTAAGCGGATTATTTTAGCGAGTATTGTCTTTCCCTTGGATACTAATTGTGCCATGACATTTTTCTGAAAGTGTGTACAAAAGTATTTGCACCTCTTTCTCATCATTAACTTGCAAAGGCAATTCCACGGATGAAACGTGTCCTCGGGAACCGAACCCAAAGCAATCATGAGAAACCAGCTCACACGGCCAAGGTTACTTCGTGTGTCTCCTAAGCATTTGCCAGTAAGATGATCAAGAAGGATGCGATGTCTTAGAGTTCAGGGCGAATTAGGAGAAATAATAACAATAAAAATTAATTAGACCGATTCGCTTTGCAAGATGGGTCCGATTGCAACAGCTGATAGGGAACTCAATCTCGTATCTAATCTAATCACTCCTTGTATTCTTCGGCCTAGCAGACATCAGAAGAACCTCACCAATAATTCTTATATGACAGTTTATAATGTCAATCTTTAAAACGTTTTCATCGATAAGGAAAAGGGAAAATAAATAGAGGCAACTCACAAAGCCCGAACAGCTGATTCCGAGGTCGCTTACAGGACCAACGTGGAAGGGTTCGCTTCTCTGTTTAAAGGGAGGACTTAGTTATTTGGTATTTATGGATTCACAGCCTTTATATATTTATATATATATATATATATATATATATATATATATATATATATATATATATATATATATATATATATATATATATATATACATATATATATGTATATACATAAATAAATATAGATAAAAATAAATAAACATATATATATATATATATATATATATATATATATATATATATATATATATATATATATATATATATGTATATATATATATATATATATATATATATATATATATATATAAATATATATATATATATATATATATTATATATATATTATTATTATATATCTCTATATATTTATTTATTCATATATTTATTTATTTATATATATCTACATTTATTTATTGATATATATCTACATTCATTTATTTATATATATATATATATATATATATATATATATATATATATATATATATATATATACATATATATATATATATATATATATATATATATATATATATATATATATATATATATATATATATATATATATATATATATATATAGGGCCACACGGGACAAACTATTCAGGGTAAAATGGCCACTCGTGACAAACACTTCAGGCTAAATATATTAGAACTGCCGCGATAGCTCAGTGGTTAGAGCACTGGACTCCGACCCTCGTGGTCCCGGGTTCAATTCCCCGTCGCGGTGGTCGTAAAAATGCCTGCGCTCTGACAGCTTGCTCGAGCCCGAGAAAACGACATATCGCCTTGAGAAGTCAAACGCAGGTGTCGTAGGGGAAATCACCGCCGTGGCCGAACCGCGGTTGATCAGGAAGGGCATCCAATCAGGTAAGGGTGGCACTGCCATATAACCTCTCAATACTAAATTGAGAAAGGCCTATGTCCTGTAGTGGAATGAATGGCTGTTAAAAAAAAAAAAAAAAAAAAAAAAAAGACTGCCGCGATAGCTCAGTGGTTAGAGCACTGGACTCCAACCCTTGTGGTCCCGAGTTCACTTCCCCGTCGCGGCGGTCGTAAAAATGCCTGCGCTCTGACTGCTTGCTCGAGCCCGAGAAAACGACATATCGGCTTGAGAAGTCAAACGCAGGTGTCGTAGGGGAAGTCACCGCCGTGGCACAAGTGTTAACGCGCCGAACCGCGGTTGATTAGGAAGGGCATTCAATCAGGCAAGGGTGACACTGCCATATAACCTCTCAATACTGAATTGAGAGAGGCCTATGTCCTGCAGTGGAAGGAATGGCTGCTGAAAAAAAAAAAAAAATAAATAATATATATATATATATATATATATATATATATATATATTTATACGATATATATATAGATATATATCATATATATATATTATAGATATAATATATATATATAAATAATAAATATAATTATATAGAACTTATCTAAATAAATAATATGATATATATACTACTAATATAGAATATAGATATTATATGATATATATAGTTAGTTATATATATATGTATTATATATTATATCTATGTATATCTATATATATATCTATAATATATATATAGGTATATATACTATATAATATATATAATGTATGTATAAACATATATAAATAAATAAATAAATAAGTAAATATGTAGATAAATAAATAAATAGATATATAGATAAATAAATAAATATATACAAATAAATAAATATATATATATATATATATATATATATATATATATATATATATATATATATATATATATATGTACATAAATAAATATAAATATATGAAGATATATATGAATGAATAGATATGTATAAGAATGGTTGTTAATCTATAATGAGGAGCCCGACTTAAACCCCAGCCTCGTGAAGCGAGCTGAAGCCTCTCCTGAAGCGAGAACGGCTTAGGGACGCAAATAAGGGTCCCGTTCACTCCACTGATACCTTATACAGATCCTGGGCCTGTAAAATGGTAGCGGGCATTGACCCGGGATCCTACGCAGTCAATAACGTAAAACATGAATAAAAACATTTACATGGTAAAATAATAAAATCAAAATACAGATACATATAATGAAAAGGCAAGTTTACAATATAAAGAGGACACGCACACGCACACACACTCATTCACACACACACACACACACACACACACACACACACACACACACACACACACACACACACACACACACACACACACACACACACACACATATATATATATATATATATATATATATATATATATATATATACATATATATATATACATATATATATATATGTATGAATGTATGTATGTATGCACACACACACACACACACACACACACATACACATACACATACACATACACATACACATACACATACACATACACATACACATACAC